GTGAGTGATAAGCAAGAAAGCAGGCGAAAGAAAGCAAGAAGCAAGGTGAGGAAATAATCATATATATCTACCATGCAGGATGAAGATGTGTACATAAATATGTATACTAGTAACCAAAAGAAGGCCTACAATAAGGAAATGAAAGATATAAAGCAAATGGTATGCGGAGATGATTCTACTTACCCAAAGTTCTCGTGTGGCCTTAAGGAGGTTTTAGTCCTAGATCTGAATCCCAAAAAAGGTAATCTAACCTGTGTTAATAATGATCAGGATCTAATAAGTTTCTCTTTGTATTTTAGCTTATGAAAATCCGAAATTATTCGTTGTTCTTCAGAACCATGTGCTCCAAAAGAAAGCTAAGATAAAAGAGGTTCAGTTCAAAGTCCAAACTGGTAAGGTCAGAAAGCCCTCCACAGAGTCACAGAACACTTTGTTTTAATTCAAAGAATGGTGGATAAGTTGGCAATAATTGGCAAAAAGAAGAGAAGGCACTTCATAAAATTAGAAATATGTCAATATGTCAATCAGTCAAATATCAATTTATAATCAAAGATAAACAAACTATTTATAGGTTATCAAAATAAATTATCAAAACAAAATGAGCCTAGTGTTTTATAATTGTTTTGGAACCAGGTAAAAGTTTTTAAACATAAAAATAATAAATAGGATCAACATAGTCTTATTTGGCTAAATAAACCTTTAGTCTTGATTTTTAAAAGGTAAACAAACGATCATATTGTGTTTCGAGTTAATTGTTTTCTGAATTAAATCATAAACGTGAACTTTAAAACATTATAATTATTGAGTTCTCTTTAATATTAACTAATTTAATTATTATTTCATATAAAATACTTTACCAAATTTAAAACCGTAACAAAAACCTGCAGTTAAAACCCTACTTGGGCCTAAGGATACTTGGGCCTAAGGAAGGAAAACCCTTCACATGCTGAGAATAATGAAGAAACCTCATACTATGTGATCTTCGAATAAGAAGTTCTTACTAGGCGGCGTCTCATTCTTTTCAGCCTAGAATCGGAAAGGACGCCCCAGGAATACTCGGTAGGGAACTTATTAAAACTAACCAAAGACACAGGACTATTCCAAAGATAGTAACTGAATACGGTGAAAACTATGGAATACAATAAAACCAAGAGGCCACAGTATTCTGTGGAAAACCTAACCCTACCTGCTTATAATCAACAAAGCTATAGATAAAAAAAAAACAATTAGATTGTAGTCCTTTCTACGCGATGTCACAGAAGTGGATTTAACAAGAATTGAAGGAGCTGAGCTGGGTTGGAAATTTGTATGTACCGTCAGAATCCGATTAACTTCAAATCTACGAACTCGGATATCAAAGCCATGTGCTTTGTTAGCTCAGTTGGTCCCGTAGTAATTGCTAATATCGATCCTTAGATTGTATTTTTTGCATTGAAGTTTCCTTCTATGACGAAATATTCTACCAGTTGTTGCAGACAATTATTATAGTGTTTTTTAAATTGTGTTTAGGTAGAATATAAACGGCTTCAATTTTAAAATATTTATTTGTTACTAGTATTTCCATAGTTTCTATCTTAATTTTAAAATGTTTAATATCTCTGATTATTATTGCACTTCCTTCTCTTGCTAAGTCAGCATGGCAAGCTTTTATAATAGAAATGAGCTTTATCAGACATAACAATCGACATGTTCGAGAATTAGAAGAATTTATTTAACATCGGCCTATTTTTAACTACGAATTTTAAACACCGACTCTGGAGAGCACGCTACCAATTACCAAAAATTTTGCCGAATACCCTGGTGTTCCAACCAGCGGTAGGGATCGTTAACGAGCCCAACATCCAAGAACTTACATCTCCGAAAAGATGGTACAACGCACGCTATACCTCGTACTCATTGATATGAAACTTGCCCGCCGCGGTATGCAACCAAGTGAGCACTTTCATTGAAATAGTCACCCATCCAACCACTAAATGCGCTGGGGCTGGCTTGACTGCAGATATCGATACATATTATAACATTATCACGCTATATACACCGTGTCCCACGTAAGGCGGGCATTACAACTTTATGGAGAATAAATTAATTTGTATTTTCGCCATTTTCTGAGTATACATAATCGAATATGCTCTTTTGAATTAAAATAAAATGAACTCTGTGCAACTTCCGGTTATACCGGAAGTGACCACTAACTTCGTTATTTTAAAGGGAATACCCCATATTTTCTTTTAATTTTAGATTCAGCATAAAATTCTGTAAACAACGATACCCCATTTGCTTATTCTAGTTATAGCGGATTTGGCGTTATTCAATTTTTTTCTACATTTTTAGTCGCCGGTAGACATTTTCTTAAAGTCGTCTATCTCAGGTACTATATCTATCAGATACTTCAAATTTTAACCAGAGGTAGTAGATGGGATGTACTTCTTGAGAATATTTAGTTATTTATTATTTGTTCTACGGGGTGTTTGCAAATTATTTTTAAAAATGAAATTTTTTAAACATAAAAAACTTTTTTATTTTAAAGGGAACACCCTATATATTTTTTAAATTTAGGATTCAGCATGAAATTTTGTAAACAATGATACCATATTTGCCTATTCTAATTATAGCGGATTTGGCGTTATTCATTTTTTTTTAATTTTTAGTCGTTGCGCCGGTAGGCATTTTCTTAAAGTCGACTGTCTCAGGTACTATTTCTGTTGGATACTTGAAATTTTAGCCAGAAGTAGTAGATGGGATGTACTTTTAAAAACATTTACAGTTTTCTGCAACAAAATATGTCGTTTAAAAAGTTTAAATTTTTTTAATGATAAGGTACATACTAACTAAAAACAATTTTTATTAAAAGCACATGGTTTAAAAAATCATTTTATCAAATGTTCAAAATGCCCCCCGTTAGCTTCTAAACATTTTAACAATCTTTTTTCAACATGATTAGTTGTTGCTTTACGAATCATTTCACCATCTAACTCGTTACAGGCATTCCGAACTCTTTGCTCTAATTCTTCTTTAATATTAATTTGGGTAGAGTACACTAAATTTTTAATATGACCCCATACAAAAAATCAACAGGAGTTAGATCTGGCGATCTTGCAGGCCAAAGCCAAGGACCATTTGGACCTATCCATCGGTCTTCAAAGTGTGCTGTAATTTCTTGATTTACATAGTATGTTGAATGTGCTGGGGCACCATCCAACTGGTACCAAAAATTATTATTTGGTAGCTGGTTTAAAATGTCGGCAACTACTTCTCTAAGAATTCTAATGTATCTTTCTGAGATCAGTCTTTCATTATAAATGTAATAAAAAGCTCTTCCAAAACCGATCACTGCAAACACATTAAAACTAAATTCGTACTGAAATTGTGCTTCACGATAAAAATGTGGATTTTCGTTTGCCCAGAAATGACATTGCTTGCGATTGATGATCCCTTTACGTGTAAATTTCGACTCGTCTGACCACAAAATGTTGTTTAAAATCTCGGGATCTTCTTGAATTCGTACCAATAACCATTCGCATAATTCAGTTCGTCTTATTTGATCACCATCTCGCAACTCATGAACTTTTCTTTGTGCATAGGGATGCCATTTATTTAGTGCTAAAATTCGTTGTATTGACCCTCGACTAATATTTAAATTATCTTGAGCCATTCTAATGGAGGCGTGAGGATACGCAGTAAAATACCCTAATACGTTAATTAGATTAACTTCATCATCTCGGACATAATGTTGACGGTTTCTTCCCGGGTTTTGTTTAAAATTATTCAAAAAGTTAGCTTCGATTCTATCAAATTTCTGTCTGTTCATTGGTGGTAAATGAGGGTATCGTTCATTAAACATGCGGAAGGTTCTACTTTTGATTCGATTACATTCTCCATGAATGTAAAATAAATTAACAATATCTTGGTTGGTATATTCTTCAATATTTTCCATATTTTCCATATTTTGAACGCAAAAAATACACAACTTAAATACATAGAAACATGACAATTCAGTTTGTTGACAGATTGTTGTTTAGCATATTTCCACGGCATACTAAGATAAAAAATTAAAATGTAAAACTATACATATTATGTAGGTGCATGCGTAAATTTTAAATTTAAATTTTCGTAAAATTGGCGAGAGATAATTATAGGGAATTAATAGTGCAAATGAAGATCAATGAAGAATAATTTTCTGAACAAAATGAAATAAAAATATACAGGATATTCCATTTAAAATAAAAAAAAATTTCATGTTTAAAATATTTATTTTTTAAAATAATTTCCAAACACACAGTCGAACAAACGATGTACAAGTAAATTTAAAAAAGCAAACGTCTGCCGGCATATAAAAGTTTATAAAAAACTGAAAAACGCCAAATACACTATAATTAGAATAGGCGAATGGGGTATCATTGTTTACAGAATTTCATGCTGAATCTAAAATTTAAAAAATATATAGGGTGTTCAATTTAAAATAAAAAAGTTTTTTATGTTTAAAAAATTTCATTTTTAAAAATAATTTGCAAACACCCCGTACAACAAATAATGAATAACTAAATATTCTCAAGAAGTACATCCCATCTACTACCTCTGGTTAAAATTTTAAGTATCTGATACATATAGTACCTGAGATAGACGACTTTAAGAAAATGTCTACCGGCGACTAAAAATGTAGAAAAAAATTGAATAACGCCAAATCCGCTATAACTAGAATAGGCAAATGGGGTATCGTTGTTTACAGAATTTCATGCTGAATATAAAATTAAAAAAAAATATGGGGTATTCCCTTTAAAATAACGAAGTTAGTGGTCACTTCCGGTATAACCGGAAGTTGCACAGAGTTCATTTTATTTTAATTCAAAAGAGCATATTCGATTATGTATACTCAGAAAATGGCGAAAATACAAATTAATTTATTCCTTATAAAGTTGTAATGCCCGCCTTACGTGGGACACGGTGTATATAAAATTATCTCATAAACAAAGTTTTACTCAAAATATGTTCAAAATGCTTACCTCTGCTTCATAACCTTCCCTTACATTAAAAGTGAGATCGTGCTGGATGTCATTAGCAAATTGCTGTTGATATTCTGGATATAGTTTGAGAACATCTACTAATCCATGTATATTAACACACTTGAGATCGCAGTATGTGAGAGCACGGACGTCGCTGCTTGATTTTATCACAATATCATTCATATTTGAGGTACGTTGATCGTTAGAGGGACCGTTTGATGAAAATTGAAGATGCATGTTGATATCGCTGCCTACTAAATCTCCTTTTCCTGAAATAATGAATACGAAATAAATAAAAGATTAGGTAACGTTCTTATTGGATTATTTTGGTTTCTTCAAAATGTGCAGCAAACCGTCCGAGATTCAGTGAAACATTTTTTTTAATTTCAATATATTTTTTAAAATAAAAAAGTAAAAATATAAAAAAATATTGCATTCATCATTAATCTAATCGTGTTGCGAAATGTAAATTTGACTGCTTCCTCAATGCATAAAAAACTGTTATGTCAATTAAGTTATCTATTCAAATCACATACTTTGATTTTCTTTTACTATACGGAGAATGGTCGCACTGCGCAGCTTTCTGAGTGCCTTTCAAAAGGAGATAGAAAACTCCGCCATTTTAAACCCTTATTACATGTTGCCTACATCTTGACGCAATATTTTTAATAGGTGCGTTTTAATCATCCGCTTCTGCTTCGGAATTGTCGGTTTTCTTGTTTTAATCTGACAGGTAAAGCCTTGGTTTCTTTGAACACTCTGTCGCGGTGAGCTAAGAACAGCAATTTTCGCCCGAGGTGGTTTGTTAAAAAATATAGAAAATGATACTTTCTCTATGTCTGTACGTGCTGTTTATGTATTATGAATGTAAAAGAAAGATACTAAAATGGATGCAAATAAATTGTTTGCGTTGTTATTATTGTTGGAAGAGAAAGAACAAGAGGAACTGGCAATTGCAACCGTCAAAGTTTCCAATAAGCCAGTGGATGAGTTGTTTTTGTGTCGCGATACAGAAAGTGCCTTTAATATCACTGTGCAGCGGAGGCTTTTTGGAAATGAAACCAAATTTAGGGAGTATTTTAGATTTTCTACAGATCTTTTTGTATTCGTGTTGAGTTTTATAAAGGACATAATTTCCAAGAAACCTAAACATAAAGTCATGATGTCATCTGTATGTGTGAAGTTGTCACTCATTGTTTTAAAATTAATAACAATATAGTCTCCGCACACGCCGACGATTCCGCTGATATCAAACTCAACAGATATCAACCGACTCTTCGCAACAAATCAGCGGCATGACGCCGTCCTGCTCAGCTAAGCGGATTCAAGAAAATCGTTCCCATTTAAATACTCTGGTTGGACAAAATCGTCAAAACGCTCACCGCGACGTAGTGTTCAAAGAAACCAAGGCTTTAGAACGACTGAACCGACAATTCCGGAAGCAGAAGCGGATGAATAGAACGCACCTGATATTTTGCTTGCTGCTGTCAGAGTGTCAGTGAATATTATTTTTGGAGTCACAGTTTATTGCTAAAGAATCAGTTAGCTCACTCGGACCAGTTGAAAGTTCCAAAATAACATCCACTTCAGGAATACAAATTCAGGATACGCAGAAGACTGCTGTTTTATTATAGGCGGTTGTCATATATTGTATTATCTGAGTTGCGCAGTGTATAAACTGGAACATTGAGATAAAAAGTGCCGACGCAGAGTGAGCGATCTGATTCTTTAGCTATAAACTGTGTCATAAGGTTCAAAATGGCCGCGCCCTATTTTGGGCGTGTCGGACCTCTCTCTTGCCCCGTATAGTATTCAAAGTATGTTATTCAAATATATTGTAAATTTTTTTAGCCGTTATTTTTTATGTCTGACGTCTCGTTTGCTGGAGCTGCTAGCTTTTAGTCCAATGGTAGGATTCTGGGAAATATCCTATAAGCTACAGAATCTGTAAGATATAGATTTTGACTTATATATCCTATAGTTTATCTCAGAATCGACCCATAAGAGTATAAAGTGTTTAAATAATAACCTATAAAATACAAAAAAAAAACAGTATAACTTACCCAAGATAGCAACAACCATATTATTCTGTACCACCTCCATGGATCCGTTACAAATGTAATAAATGGAACTCAACGCATCCCCTTTATGGATAAGGTATTCTCCCGGGGCACAGAAATTTGATCGGATATGCAGCGACAAGAGTTTTAGACACCCTTGAGAGGCTGCTTCAAATATGGGAAGTTGTAGGATCTCTCGATGTAGATGCATCGATACGTCGCCACGTAATTCTTCGGGAAACTCTTTTAGAGTCTATTCATAAAACGTTTAATAAATAACAGAGAGTCGATGGTAAAATTTGTGATTGATTTATATAGTTTACGTTGGATTTTTGGAAACATAAAAGGTGATTTGTCACTATACGTTAAATAATATCCAATTATGGGGCGATTATTTATTGAAAGTGGAGAATCGAAGTTACAAAGTAAACAACGTTTAAAATTCGGATTTTAGCGTCAAGGTTAAATAGTAATTAGTTAAAATTAAATAAAAATGCTGATTTCGGTTTTACAAAGAATTCTTTTTCTCAAACAAGTAAATAGAAGTAACTTCATTACATCCCCCCCTTTCAACGGCAAAAAAATGTTTTCTAGTTAAGGCTAAATGGTAATTAGTAAAAATTAAATAAAAATGCTCAATTCGATTTTCCTATGTTTTTCAAACAATTACATAAAGCTTCGTTACATCACAATAGTTTATTGTTTAAATAAATAAATTACATCTAGAAACATATAAACATGGATTAAATCGTGTAGTTAAGCCCTAATAATGATTAATATTATAAGAAGAGGATCTTACTTCGTGAATGTCAATGCCATGATTAAGCGACCACATCGTTTGAAAATAATCCTGCATCCTTTGTTTAAGTTCCTTTGGAATTTGGTGTAATGTAAGAAAGTCCTTAAGGTCGCGCCATTTTTGTTGATAGATAGAACGGCGGGAATACATCCGTTGAATAATTGCCGTAACATTACCAAAGACGACGGCATGCATCAAGGCTGAAACAACGACTTTCATTAGAGTAAACATTTGTGTGATTTTCATTTCTTATTAGTTTTTTATACCGAATTGTTTTTTCCAATTACTGGTACTGTTTATAATATATGCATAATTTAATTATTTTGGTAAGGTAAAATTTGTTAAATTAGAGTAACTAAATAGTATTATGAAATGTACACAGTGAACAGACGAATCGTAGCACGAACTCTTTGAGAAGTGAACACTAAATTATAATATAGACTGCTAGGCCAGTCATTAGAGATAATCAACTGTAAACAAGATATAGCTACAAATATCACTTCTTTTTTCGAACTTACATCCATCTTTTCTGTTCTTAAGACGAATTTACTCTGCCTTGTTTCGGGACAGAAGACAAGAAGTGCTGCGTGTCAATTAAAAATTGCATTTGCGTCAACGTGACGTTAACGCGACTGCTAAAAAACGTTTGTGAGCAAATATGTAATAATATTTATATTAATGTCACGCGAAGCCGTCTCTGTTCCCTGTTTACTCCTTGCCCGCGACACAGTTTATAGCTTAAAAGAATCAGTTCGCTCACTCGGACCAATTGGACGTTCCAAAATAACATCCACTCCAGGGATACAAATTCAGGATGCGCAGAAGACTGCTGTTTGAATATAGGCGGTTGTCATATTGTATAACAATATAACAAATATTATATTGTATTTAATTTAATTGCATTATTTATGAATAAACATTATTATTATTATTAGGCATTCCAAACAAATGAACTGCCAGTGGGAAGATTTGATATATCCAAGGGTTGAGACATACGATGTATTCTGTTCACAATACGTAAAATCATGAATAATGGATTACATTTAAATATTTTATGTCAAACACAATAAAAATAAGATACATTTTTTTCATAAATTAGCAGGCTTTGTGACTATTATTTCGAATAAAAATAAACGTTCAAGATGCAAGACTATGTCTCTTCCCCCTTAGATATACCAGACCTTCTCACTGACAGCTATTGTTTGACAGGTCGTTGGAATGCTTAATTGGTAATAGTAAGAGAGCCCACTGTAAATTACGGCCGTCATCTGATAACAAAATGAAATAATATGCTCCAAAGACATGTAACAACATTGTACTTTGCCAAATTGCATCTGTGCCAATCTGTAATCCTGAACAAAGTAGTTAAAAAAATTATTTTATATTCAAAAAATTACATAAGACATGACAGCGATAATTGTGTTTTCTCTGAAAATTACAATCCTAATTCATTGTGAACCTAGCTTTTAAACCTAAATTATTAATATTTTTACCTAACTTTGGCAGAGATAGTCAATATTAATTGAATCGGTGAGTGAAAGAACAATACATATCCAAAATGACCATTTTGAGAAAAACAAAAAAAACTGTTTTAAAAAAGAACTATGGGTTATTCGGCCTAATTATGTATTGTGAAGTTATAGAATTTTTATCAACCGATAATAATACGTACATAAATTTAAAAATAAAATTATGGAAAAAATTTTATTTGAAAAAAATGACTTGCAGTTATACTGTTCTTTCACTCAATTTAAAAAAAAATACTTAAAATTTTTTTGTAGCTTTATTAATTATTATTTAACAAACATATTTGTAATTTTTGAATTAGAATCTTCATTTTTGACTTTCCAAGAAATATATATATATATTAGTAAAACTCTAGGATTTCATCACTAAAGTAAAATAAAAGTATCTTTATAGTGTTTATCTTCTTTACGTTAATAGGGACAACTTCTGAGTAGGCTTTTTCTAATGGCAAGCATACACGTAACGGTCTACCGGAGAGGTCTACCGGGTCTACCTGTGCAGGTGTGCTTGCGCAGGTCGGCTTCATGTCGTAGCGTGCATGTCTACCTGTGCAGGCACACCTGCACAGACAGACCGTAGCATGTATGCCCGCCATAAGGTTAACTGCAGATTGGCATTAGGTTTGATATCAGTCTAATGCGCTCCACACATAAAAATGTGCCAGAGAAAACCGCCTAAGAAGTAATATATCCAGAAGTTGTACCAGTAAACTGGCTGTACTGTTGAAAGACAAAATTATCTTTTTGTTCATCAGCTGATATAGAGGTTTTTTTTATGAAATTGCAACCACCAGTTTTTAAAATCTGTGTCAAATTTGTCTACGAAATGACATGGCTACTGAGTGAAAAAAACAGTACATGCGCCGCACTTGTACTGTTTTTTCACTCAGCCGAAAATTGAACAAGCTCCCATCGCTCGTATGATGTTGATCTGTGTATTATTCTTTCGCTATGTGATAGGCCTATGAATTTTAAACACTTTGCCTATCTCAGTTAAAATTACGGTTTTTGGCACTTGTACTGTTCTTTCACTCACCGATTCAATTATAATCTCTTGTTAGACAATTCTTTTAAACCATAATCATAGTAGTTTTTTTGTCGTTTCTATGACAACCTGTAAAAATGAATCGCAACAATAGGCATACAAATAAATTCTTAAATAAGCAAAAATTGATTCATATTTTTAATGATTTTTACCTACTAATCGTGTGTAGATGTTTTTGTGCGATGTTAAGAGGAAGAAAATGTTTCCCGTTAACGATATATATCAAGATATATTTGAATGTTATTATCTGGAAAACTTTAAGGGCAAACAAAATTAGCGCTGTCATGCCTTATGTGATTTTTTTAATATAAAATATGTTACGATTAGTAATGGACTGTATTTTATAGGTTTATTGTTTTAAAATATAATCTTTTATAAAAATTTATTAATTTTACAAATGTAGAAATTTTAGGTATTTTTGGCAAGTTGCATGTCAAGTTGATATTAATTTTATTTATATATATATATATATATATATATATATATATATATATATATATATATATATATATATATATATATATATATATATATGTCAATTGGCAGTTTTGAGGACAATTTGTAACCCCTATATACAAATGTATACATTTGTATACATTTGATATACAAACGTATATATCCAACTTTTGTTTCAAAATATGCAAAAATGAGTTATATATAGGTATTTACTATGTATTGGTATATATGGGGTCATTGATTTTGATAATTTACAGGATGTCAAAAAAACGCAATAATGTTGGCAGTGTCTGAAAAAACCCATATTTTCTAGAACACCACCAATTTTATCGAATTAAAAAGATCAAAACTTTTGTATGTATCATCACTGCTTTGAATTTTAAAGACCCTCTATATACAAATAAATACTATTGTATACGTTTAATAAACAAACGTATATATCCAACTTTTGTTTCAAAATATGCAAACATAAATTATATATAGGCATTTAAATATGTATTGATATATATATATATATATATATATAAAAAAAAAAAAAAAAAAAAAAAAATCTGACTCTCTACGTTGAACAACACCGTGATTTAATTCATCATGTAATCGAGATTCTGTAGTTAAGCAGATATATCTGTCTTCGGTCTATCTTTCCACTGTTTCAGAAACTGTAAAAACATTTATTTTTTAATTTATCTTTAAATTTGTCTCTTAGTGAAGTTATTTATTGTGTATTGTTTGTTCAATATATAAAAATTGTATGAAATGTTTATTCACAATGTATTTTTATGCATATTATGTTATTTAAAAATATAGTCATTTAATTTTAATTATTGTCTAGTATATATTTGTATTTAGATTTACTATATTGTATATTGTATGTATTTTTTATTCTAAATTATTTTCGAAACAAGTGTTAAATCGCTTATCGAGCATAATAATTTATTCTAATTTACTATATTAACATGTACTTCTATTTTTGAGAATAAATTATATTATATTATATATTATATATATGGGATCACTGATTTTGACAATATACAAGATGTCAAAAAAGCGAAATAAGGTTGGCAGTGTCTGAGAAAACCAATATTTTCTCGAACACCGCCGATTTTATCAAATTAAAAAGATCAACACATTTGTTTGCATAATCACTGTTTTGAATTTTAAAGACCCTCTATATACAAATGAATACTTTTTATACATTTAATATACATTTAATATCCAACTTTTGTTTCAAAATATGCAGAAATAAATTATATTTAGATATTTAAATATGTATTGGTATATTTCTATGGGATCACTGATTTTTACAGCATGTCAGAAAAGCGCAATAAGGGTGACATTGTCTGAGAAAACCCATATTTTATCGAAACGAAAAGATCAACACTTTTGTTTGTATCATCACTGTTTTGAATTTTAAAGACGCTCTATATACAAATAAATACTTTGGTACACATTTAAGATACAAACGTATATATCCAACTTTTATTAAAAATATGCAAAATTATATCAAATATAGGTACTTAAATATGTATTGCTATATATGGAGCCATTTACTTTGACAATCTACAAGGTGTCAAGGAAGCGCAATATGGTTTACTCTATTCCACATAGCCCATATTTTCTCGAAAACTCACTGATTTTATCAAAGTAAAAAGATCACCACTTTTGTGCTTCATCAATATTTTAAATTTATATACCTATTCATTTGTTTCCATTGAATATACAAACGTATTTTTCCAACGTTTGTGTTAAAATATGCAATAATTAAGTTGTATATAGTTATTTAAATATGTATTGGTATATATGAGGTCATTCACTTTGACAATCTTCAGGGTGTCAAGGAAGCGATATGGTTTGCAAAGTCCCACAAAACCCATAATTTCTTGACCACCGATTTTATCGAATTAAAAAGATCACCAATTTTATGCTTCATCAATGTTTTAAATTTATATATTCAATTGTATCCATTGAATATACAAACGTATTTATCCAATGTTTGTGTTAAAATATGCAAAAATTAAGTTATATTTAGTTATTTTAATATGTATTGGTATATATGGGGCCATTCGCTTTGACAAACTTCAGGGTGTCAAGGAAGCGATATTGTTTGCAAAGTCCCACAAAACCCATATTTTCTTGACCACCGATTTTATCGAATTAAAAAGATCATCACTTT